CTGCCAAACTTTTTTTGTAATCCCCAGTTTCTTCAAAGGCTCTCCTTCAGGCAAACCTGGATGGGGCGGATATGGTTTGTCCCATGTACCATACCTGTCTCTTATACACATCTAGATGTGTATAAGAGACAGGTGTAGTAACTGTGTTTAGAATAACAAAAAGAGCACGCTATGTGTGCAGTCTCTTTTTTTTTTCTTCCTCTTCTTCTTCTTCTGGTGGTGGTTCCTGGACTTGGGATGAAGTCATTGAGCGGGTTGTTCCTTGTTCAAGCCTTGAGGGAATTGACTGGCTAGTGACCAATCTTTTGGGTACAAATATGTCTTTGTTTTGTGCAATGCCAGGATATACAAACAGCTGATTGGACAGAGTTTATTGCACCATTCTGGCCAGCGGTGATTGAGTCTGCGATCAGTGTGCAGGGGTTGGTTGGTCTTCTAAGATCAGGTATGTGTTTTTAATATCAACTGTTTTCATTTTTCCTTTAAGTGAAGCACCTCCTCAAGACGGTTGCGTACGAGATCTTTATGTTTTTGTGACAAGTTTGACTTCGTCAGTTTTTAGATCACTACTAGCTCCCACAACTCGCCTGCCCTTCGTAACCGCAAGTAAACTACCCGTTTATAGTTACTGCAAGGGTCTTTGCCGATTAAATGGAACCAATCCTGGTGACGGTCCACAAAGTCAGAAAAACAAGGTGAGCTGGAGTAGAAGTGTGCTGAGCAGAGTTCACGAGGAAAATGGTTTCTTTGGAGGGTCCCTTTCTGATGAGTCACTTCCTGACTTTTGGTCCCTCTCCTGAAGAAACCTGATCTCCTGATCAGCATTGATCCTATTCTCGATCTAATGCTTGTTTCTGATCGTATCTCATTTCCAGTGCATCTGGACCAGCATTCCATCCTCATCCCCTTGAATGTCTGTTGCAGTTAGTGACGAAATGTTGGCTCCTGGCTTGTTTTCCCAAGCAATTCATTGAAGCATTGTTATTGTTATCCCTACACTTATAGAAATCGCTATGTGGTACGCGAGATTTGGCCAATCGGGGCCGCCCGCGGTCTACCAGCCGACGGTCCGGATTTCTGCGCGATCTTAAGACTTTAAGACTTTAAGATCGCGCGGCGATCCAGATCGTCCGCTTTGCCGGACGGCCTGGATCATCGCACGATTATCTGAACTGTCGAGCTGGCCGACGGTCCGGATCAACACGCCCGTTGGAAAGAGGACCTGTACGGGCCTGTAGGTAGTCGAAAAAACCGTCGGGCCTTGCGCCCAGTGCCTGTTGGGCGTTGGCCCCCTGACGGCCCGTTGAGTTCAGGGCCTGGCCATAATCTATACGCGACCCGCCGACAAACTCTATAGGATGCGCTGCATCGTAACGAAGCCGACAAACGCCTTACGCGAACAGACTCCTCTACGCCTGGACAGACAGATGCCCGTGCGAAAGCAAGCATGCACATGGACACACACATACCCACTCATGTACGCACTTGCATTCTGGACCCACACATGCCCACACATATACGCACTTGCATCCTGGACACACACATGCCCACGCATGTATGCACCTGCATCCTGGGCAGACTGTCGAGGTTCAACCTCCTGATGAGTCGGTGAAAGTCCGGAGAAACAGTCTGGCACATTCATGCTTCCTTTTGCGGAGTTGTGTATGGCGAATGTGACAACACTCACGTGCACGCACACGAACATGCACACACACACACACACATCAGCACACACACACACACACACACACACACACATCAGCGCGCACGCACGCATCCACGCACACACACACACACACACACCCATCCGCGTGCACACACATACACTGCATAATAGCGAACATGGCAAATACACTCACAGAGAGAGAGAGAGAGAGAGAGAGAGAGAGAGAGAGAGAGAGAGAGAGAGAGAGAGAGAGAGAGAGAGAGAGAGAGAGAGAGAGAGAG